TGAGGAGAAGACCCTATCTGTTGAGGCAAGCAAGTTGATTCTTTTTGTGATACTCATTTTATTCTTCCTTTAGTAGTTTAGAATATAGATGAGCTATGTATATCTTGCTTGTGGATAGCTGCACAGCTTAGTGTTTCTTTTGTTAGTCCCCTTTTCTCTTTCCAAGACTTGATGCTGTGTGCTCCTTTTTTAGGTAAAGATGCCCCAGGATGCAACAAGCAGCACTGTTCGTGACACTAGAGGGCTTTCAGGTTTACTTCTTGAATATTCTGATGAAATGTCTATTTATTTGTGCTTTTGCAATTAATTCATCATAGATCAATGATTTCATTGTTTGGAGTTGCTTAATTTGATTGGTTGGGCTTTCGCTCAAGAGTAATATGGGACTTTTCACACTTTCATAATCAGGATTTAGAATATGGCATAAATAAACATTTATGTACATTTGATTGTTAATCAGGTGGGGAACGCTCCTTTTCAACATTGTGCTTTGCATTGGCTCTTCATGACATGACCGAAGCTCCATTTAGAGCAATGGATGAGTTCGATGTTTTTATGGTACGGATTTAAGCAAGTACTTTGTTCCAGGATTGAAGATTGTGTTCGTACATGTCTAGGTTGTTTTGTTTAAGACAAAAAATGGTTCTTATGAACAAATTTTATGCATTTAACTTATTCTTCAGGATGCTGTAAGTCGGAAAATCAGCCTAGACACTCTTGTTGATTTTGCATTGGCACAAGGATCCCAATGGATACTTATCACCCCTCATGATATCAGGTAATGTTGTAAGAAAGAATGTGGATGCCTTCTGTCCTCAGCTTTCTTTGAATGTCTGGTTTTTGCATGAAACCTTATTTCTTTTTCTTCTGCGGAAAGCAAACATAATAGAAAACAATGCACTTGAGAAATGACATGGTAAATTGAATTTGATTCTTTGGATGCAGTATGGTGAGGAACGGGGATAGGATAAAGAAGCAGCAGATGGCGGCTCCTCGTTCTTGATCTGCCATGTATGATTGTGTCCTTCTGTAGTCATGCCAACACCTGGTACTGCTTGAAGTTGAACAGATGATGATGTATTTATTTACTCATATGTAAATTACCATTGTAAGGCAAACCCTAGGGTATAGAGACCTTCCCCATGGTTTCTTTTAGGAATTAATATGAACCTTTTTTGCTTTGAATTGAATCCCTTAAATCATATTATCTTACATATCCGGACGATTCTTATAAAGTAATACTTGTATGAATGGCGACCATTATTCATATTATATATTATTATTTACGAAATTAGACTCTTTTTTTTTCTTCTCCCTTCTACTTTACTCTTTCCTGTATTGTTCTTCACGTCCTTTCGTAGATTTCTAATTCCCGCAGTTTTTTTGAGATCCCAAATAACATATTGAATTAAAAGAATGTGTGTTGTGTGAGTATTACATATCAAATTCATGGAAATGGAATGCCACTTGACCAAAAACACTCGAGGAATGCCAAAAGACAAATAAATCCATTTTCTATTGCTAAACCTTTACAATTAAATTTCATAGTTAGATCAGAAAGTACAAAAGTGGAAAAACAAAATCCATTTATTAGAAAAAAACGAAAAAGGAAAATATAATCCAATCCACGTCTTTTATGCGCTGAATTATAAAACGATGGTCTTTTTATCTTTGTTTCCTTTGCCATGGTTTGGTTTCTGTCCCCACATTCGAAAACGAAATTTGAATTATAAACGGCTATCTAACGGTCATATTGATGGGACAGCCAAATGAGGACAAGTCCTTTTTGTAAACCTTTGGCCGGGGAAATTGAAATTCTTTTACATAAACAAGTTTTACGGTGTTTTGTGCCCACAGAGAACTCGGGTTATAACCAAATGAATATTTATTCAAAGGACTTGTAAGTCAGATAATTAAAAGAATATTTAGTCATATCACTTTTTTTTGGCCAAACTTATTCATATGACTTGACTGTATATAAATAGGTGCTTCTGGAGATTTTTAGAAAAAGTTTTAAATTTTTACAAATGACTTTTTCAAAGACTCGATAAAAGTCCTAGATTCAAAATCTTGGAAGTAGAAACAAAAAGCGCCACACACTCAGAACCTCCGACCCATTCAAATCTCCTTCACCCGGAAAAGTGTATAGATGGAAACACAGACAAGTTTTAGAGAGAGAAAATCTAGCGGTTGTTAGTGACAAAATCTAGAGAGAGAGAGAAATGTAATCTAGAGAGAGAGAGAGAGAGCTGAACAGAGAAGACAAGATGGGATACAGAGAAGTTGCAGAGAAAGACCATCACGCTCGAACGATGTCTTTGGGGGCAGAGAAACCAAACACAAAGACCAGCCCTTTACCAACATCGAAGAAGAGGACGTCGAGCTGGTCAGACATCTGGCTTAAGAACACTACGCCCCTCAAGAACGTCATCTTCGCTATGCAACTTGCTTCGCCCAAAGACTCCAAATTCAAACCCACCCACAAAACCCTAATCCCCAATTGGGCAAACATTGACCGTACCTCCCTATTATCCGACGAAATCCTCCTCGAAATCCTCGCCAAGCTGCCCGAGTCGCAGCGCAAGCCTAACTCGCTTGTCTGCAAGCGCTGGCTCAACCTCCAAGGCCGCCTTGTACGGTCGCTCAAGGTCTTGGACTGGAGCTTTCTCCATTCGGGTCGGTTGATCTCGAGGTTCCCCAACCTGAATCAGGTTGATATGCTATATGGATCGTTGATTTCGGACCAAAATTCGGGCATTTTGTTGAGTTATAGAATGTTTTCGTTCCATACCGGTTCCGAGTTCTCGCCGAAGCAGAGAGTTTCCGAGTCAAATTTCAAATTGCTTCCACCTGAGGTTGTTGACAGAGGGCTTGATGCGTTGTCGAGTGGGTGCCCCAACTTGCGGAAGCTTGTGGTGATTGGTGCGAGTGAAATGGGGTTGCTGAGTGTAGCAGAGGAGTGCCCCACACTCCAAGAATTGGAATTGCACAAGTGCAGTGACAATGTGCTGCGTGGGATTGCGGCATGTGAGAATTTGCAAGTGTTGAAATTGGTTGCGAATGTAGAGGGACTTTATAGTTCAGTGGTTTCGGATATTGGGCTTACGATTTTAGCTCAAGGGTGCACGAGATTGGTAAAGCTTGAGCTTTGTGGATGTGAGGGAAGCTTTGATGGGATTAAGGCAATTGGGCAGTGTTGCCAAATGTTGGAGGAATTGACTTTCTGTGATCATAGGATGGATGGTGGGTGGTTGGCTGCACTTTCATATTGTGAAAATTTGAAGACTTTGAGGTTTCAGTCGTGTAAGAGGATTGAAACTATTCCGGGGCCCGAAGAGTATTTGGGTGCTTGCCCTGCTCTGGAGCGGTTGCATTTGCAGAAGTGTCAATTGAGGGATAAGAAGAGTGTGAGAGCTTTATTTATGGTGTGTGGAGCGGCCAGGGAGATTGTTTTTCAGGACTGTTGGGGATTGGACAATGATATGTTCAGGCTAGCAAGTACTTGCAGGTAGTTGATTCTTTTTGCTATATTATGTCTTTAGTTGCCTGAGATTGATATTGGCATGTTAAGATTCTAAAGAAGATAATAATGGGGATGAAATTTTGGTATAAAACTAATGTATTTAAATGTATAGAATTCACCCTGTACTAAGATTAGTTATCTGGTATCAATTTACAAAAGTTATGAACTTTATGAGTAGATCTGCAGAAAAATAAGCTAAAACCTTTTCTGCGATCGTTGTTGTAAGACTGGACAGTTGTAATATGATTATAGTTAACTGTTAGAGTTGCTGAGGTCCTAAAGCAAATTTGAAGGGGTGAAAACACTTCTGTTTTTAGATTTTTGGTCATTGAATTATCATTTGGAATATCCTTGCATTGCTATTTTAATGGGATATAATGTTCTAACAGGAGGGTGAAGTTCCTATCTCTAGAAGGATGCTCAGTGTTAACAACAGAGGGTCTGGAGTCAGTAATTCTTCCCTGGAAGGAGCTTGAATGCCTTAGAGTAGTGTCGTGCAAGAATATAAAGGACAAGGAGATATCTCCTGCCCTCTCAACCTTATTTTCTACTCTCAAAGAGTTGCAATGGAGACCAGATACCAAATCTCTTCTTCCATCAAGCGTTTTCGGAACCAGCATAGGAAAGAAAGGCAGTAGATTCTTTCGGAAGACTCGAGATTTGAAGATGCTATTTGATGATCAGAATCTGCTCCTTGATTTTATACACAGATGATTCAGATTGAAGCTGCTTTTACTCTTGCTGTGAAGACTGTATCAGTATACTATAGTTACTGTACTCATTCTGTTGTCCCTTTTGGATGCTTAACACAGAAGTTGACAGAGGAAGAAGGAGGTTGTTAGTTTTATTCTTCCACAGTCAGGCAACAGCCAAGGATGTATAATTATAAGGGTTATATTTGCCCGACCCACTTCTCCCTTAGTGCAAGTTGGGCAACCCTTTTTCGCCATAATATCTTAATTTCATGGTACAGATGTTTTAATTCGCATTCTTGTTTGGTCTGTACTTCTGTTTCTACTACGCTTCTAATCTCCTCAGCAAAACAAACACACAATAATCACATTATTGAACAAACCCAAACTGCTTTAGAGGAAAGAAATGTTAGTGCTTGGGATAATAAATGGATAATCAAATCTCAGTTAAACTAATCTAAAGCAAATACTAATGTTTTCAATACTAGACACTACGCGATACTTATGATATTAGAAGACTCATGAAAGTCCATCAAATGAGAGATAATTTAGCAGATTATATTTTTTTAATTAAAACTTTATCACTTTATTTATGTTTTAATATCTTGGTCATTGCACTCAAATCAAATCTGGAAATTTCCTGTAATCACAAAAAAAAAATAAAGGGGGTGGGAAAATTTCTTTGGATGGGTGTACTGATCAATTGTTGGGTGTATTTATTTAGAAACTAAAAAAACCTCCACCTACTAGGCTACAACATCGACCAGGATGACGTGGCAAAAACCTAGAGGGGAGGGAAAAAGAAGAAAAAGAGCAGGAAAACGAGAGGATGTTGACAGCGCTGACGCGTGAAAATTTGTCTGCTTGATTCTCGCTGAGATCATCACTCAACTCTTAAACTAAAACTCCAACTTCGAACTAATGGGTTTACAGACAGATAAAGAGACGATGAAGAAAGGCAAGGAAGTTGTGGTTTCAAGCCCTAACGCCAACGACGATGACGACAACCTTAATATCAGCGAAGAAGACTTGGACGACGACACTAATCATAACAGAGGAAGTGGCGTCTCTTTTACTTCCGTTAGATTCTCTTCTCGCAACACTTCCTCCAAATACGACTTTGTCAAGGTTCTTCACTTTATTGTTACCCAAAGAACAAAGGTTCTTAATTTCCTACTCTCTTTCTGTTTGTTTCCTGAGAAATAAATCAGAATCGAATGTCTTTTTGTGCTGAAAACCAAACAGGTCAAGGTGTGGTTGGGCGATAATGCAGATCACTACTACGTGCTTTCCAGATTTTTGCTCAGCCGAATGTTAACTGTCACTAAGGTCTCAATTCCATTCAACCCAATTCAGTGTTTTGATTCTTGTTATTAATTTCCAATATCTGTGTATGTAAGTGTGTGTGTGTGTGTGTGTGTGTTTGCCTCAATTCAACTATTTGTTTCTTTTGGTAATTTCTAATCATCAGTTGTATTGTTAATTTATTATGAATTTATGATGGTGATTGCAGATCCCAAATTATGTAGCTATTAAAATTGCTTTGGAGCTCAAGAAGCTGCTAATAGACAACAGCCTTCTAGATGTGTATGTTGTGTCCTCACTCATTTATTCTTCTTTTATTTTGCTTTTTCTTGTTTTCTGATAGGATTCTTATAAATGGTTTCGCTTTGTGTTTCTGTGATTTGTTGCAGCTCGCAGTCTGATTTGGAAGCCAATTTGTTTAAGGTAATGTCATGTGTGTGTGCTTGTCCAACAAGTAGTGCGCTTTTTGAAATTTTGTAGGTGTTGAATTTAGTTCATCTCTGTATGCGCAGCTTATGGAACGAAGGGGTTATGGGGAGGAGTACATAAACCGGTACAAGATGATGACGAGGTCAGTCTAAAATCTATATGGCTTTTAGGAAATGCCTAGAAACTGAATAAGGGAAAGATGGTAAATTTGCTGAACTCTATGGTAATACCTTTTTTCTTGTTCTGTGTGGGGCCAAATTCTTTCAGATTTCACCATCAAAGAGTGCCATTAGTTATTCTTGTATGTGGAACTGCCTGTGTTGGAAAGTCCACCATTGCTACCCAACTTGCACAAAGGCTAAATTTGCCTAATGTCTTGCAGGTTTTTTCTTTTGTATCTGTCATGTTCACTCTCTCACTCTCTCTCTCTCTCTCTCTCTCTCTCTCTCTCTCTCTCTCTCTCTCTCTCTCTCTCTCTCTCTCTCTCTCTCTCTCTCTCTCTCTCTCTCTCTCTCTCTCTCTCTCTCTCTCTCTCTCTCTCTCTCTCTCTCTCTCTCTCTCTCTCTCTCTCTCTCTCTCTCTCTCTCTCTCTCTCTCTCTCTCTCTCTCTCTCTCTCTCTCTCTCTCTCTCTCTCTCTCTCTCTCTCTCTCTCTCTCTCTCTCTCTCTCTCTCTCTCTCTCTCTCTCTCTCTCTCTCTCTCTCTCTCTCTCTCTCTCTCTCTCTCTCTCTCTCTCTCTCTCTCTCTCTCTCTCTCTCTCTCTCTCTCTCTCTCTCTCTCTCTCTCTCTCTCTCTCTCTCTCTCTCTCTCTCTCTCTCTCTCTCTCTCTCTCTCTCTCTCTCTCTCTCTCTCTCTCTCTCTCTCTCTCTCTCTCTCTCTCTCTCTCTCTCTCTCTCTCTCTCTCTCTCTCTCTCTCTCTCTCTCTCTCTCTCTCTCTCTCTCTCTCTCTCTCTCTCTCTCTCTCTCTCTCTCTCTCTCTCTCTCTCTCTCTCTCTCTCTCTCTCTCTCCCTCCCATTTACCGACGGTTTTGAGTTGCAAAAAGATGTCATTGAAATTTATTTTGTACTTTTACTGATTGTTACAGACAGATATGGTATATGAATTGCTGCGCACATCAACAGAGTATGTCCCTGTTTTATTTATTTCCTGACTTTTACATTTTGAATGTCCGGATCCTATGCTAAGCTGATTAATTAATGTTGCTTATGTTAAGCTTTTTGTTTTGATGAACAATATTAGAGTGTTTATTGTGTCATTTTTTTCTAATTCAGTGCACCATTGACATCTACCCCTGTATGGGCACGAGACTTCAGCTCCTCTGAGGAGTTAATTACTGAATTTTGTAGGGAGTGCAGGATTGTTCGTAAAGGTAGTCTCTTTATTAATACATCTGCTGAGATGAGTCAGATGACTACTTTTGAACTTTAGACAACCAGAATGGTTTTTATGTCTGAGAGCACGCCAGTAGTTTCTCTCTCTGTAATAACAACTTTTCTATGCCTTTAAGCTAGTCTATTGATTAATAATCTCTGTTCTGGAACACGTGCTTCGCAGGATTGGCTGGTGATTTGAAGAAAGCTATGAAAGATGGAAAGCCAATAATAATAGAGGTATGGTTAAATTCCAAGTCATGGTGGATGTAAATGACATCTTAATTCAATTTTGTCCTAATTTTCTTTTTCTTTTTCTATCTCTTCCTTTGTCTTTCTTTTTTCTTATAAAAAGATCTATTACCTTGGTCAAATATTATGCCTGAAAAACCTCATATATGTCTAACGAATTCATCACTCAGTGCTCTATTTTGTGTTATAAAAGATTCTGCCCAAGTCTCAATTATCTGGTTGTTTGCCTGAACCTTTTCTTGAAGTGAAGATGAACAAAATTGAGTATTTGTCTTAGATTGGTAAGTTGCCTTTTCCTTGATCAATGGGGTGAATTCCTCACAGATGGTCTGTGCATGGTAGGGCTTAAATATTGACGAGCCTTGCTGAAGTGCATGCTGCAGAAGGGACTTTCTTGTTTTTGAGAGAGAGTGCTAATCTTGTCACTGTGTTGAATTTTGTGATGCTGAACAATAGAGAGGGACTGTTATTAGGTCATATATGTGAATTATTTGGCTAAGAAAATTTACGATGACAATATGATGAGCATTAGCAAGCTTCTTGTCTGCTTAGTTTTTCTCACTCTCAGCTTGGACAATTTTGTTTTCTGTTGATGGTAATTGCAGGGAATACATTTGGATCCAAGCATTTATTTAATGGAAGATGAAAATAAAACACAAGCTCATGTGCAAGAGAAAATTCAAGAGGCAGAATCCCTTGCAGCAGATGGTTCCAAAACACACATGGAAAACGATTCTCCAAGTATAAATGGAAATCCTTCTGAAGTTAGCAACAGTACTGCGCATGTCAGCTCTGATGAAGGGACACTGGTTAACAAGGTGAACGAAGTCTCAGATTGCCTGGAAGCTTTTGACCTAGCGGGAAGTGTTTCTGAGAATAAAGGTTAACCCCCATTGTGGATATTGCTCAGAATGTTTATGTTCTGTTCAACCACTCATATTTTTGTTTAGAAACATACTTTTATCAAAAGACATGCTGATGTCAGTTGCAACTGACATCTGCCAACAAGACACACAATCTTTGTTGAAGTGAATAGTGGAGTTGAACCATTAAGATGTCAGTTCTCTAACTACTTTTGTAGTGCTGCAGGTGGAAGTCTTACTGGTCCAGAGATGGATAAACGTACTTCTGTTAAGAAAGAGAAGTCTGGTCCTGAACCAGTAATTATACCTCTAGTTTTGAAGATGGCTGAATTTGATCATAAGGTGTTGTCACGTTCTCTTTCATGTGTATAGTTTTTGGTAGAAATTATCTTTTTCCCTGTCCTTGTTTTTGTGCAAATGCGTTGTGTTAAAGGCTTTGTCCTTACTCCTTTTCATAAGTAACTTGGCATTTATGCCTACAAGTAGTTGTGACAGCTATTGTTGTGTATGCACATCAATTAGTGTAGTGCCAATTTAAATGCACAATGAATGGTGGTGCCAAAAATCAGCAATACTAGTGCTGTTCCTGCTCTCCTCTCTGCATCATAGGCCTCTAAATCCTGAATTAGTTTCATTAAGACACACTTTATAAGACACGGTTTTGCGGGGAAAATAATGTATACATTCTCATACTTTTCCCTTTGTGGCTTTGTAAAGAATTTCTTGAGTTTTTTCATGTTTTCGATTTAACTGCAAGATTATTGCTTTACGTTTACTGTTTATATGCTCATATTTTCCCTCATCGTTTGTGTTATATTCTGAAACTTGATTTATTTTGTAATTTGTATACCTATACTCTTATTTGCAGGCATTACTAGAGGAGGGGATCTCGACTCGTACATTGAGTGATAAATGTATAGTCCAGGTATTTTGAGCTTCTTTCTTTCTCTTCTCATTTCCATAAGATCTTGAGAGTTCGTTACTTGATGAGGTTTTCAATTAGACTTGCTTTCTTTACTTCTTTTGCAATTAATTTACAAGTTACTTTTTTTCATTTCCAGGATAAAGATAAGCTAATAAGAAACTTAAAGACCATCCAGGACTATCTATGCTCATTCAATTCGCAGGTAAGTGCCTTCATGTCATTTGAATTTCATTTTATCTTTGAATTGGCTCATGGTTTATCGTTGGTTAGTTATCTGTCATTTTTATTCCAACAGGGTTTGACAGTTGTCAATATATCAGCAACCACATTCCCACAAACATTGGATTGGCTGCATGGATATCTTCTTGAGGTACTTCTGATGGATTTTTTTTTAGTTTGTGTTGTCCTGGCCTCCTTACTGCTGGTTAAACCTAGAAAATTTTGATGTTTATGGCCCAACTGATGGGTCCCAAGTGATATTACTTTGCTATGTATTGATTCCATAAAATCTAGTAGCCATGGCTGGAACAAGAGACAGCTCCCATGATCCTACGTCCTGTTCGTAGTGGTTTTACTCACAGTTCCCTGTTGCATGACCCTCCCTTTATCCTACCTTGTGTTCTTAGTGATCTTACTCACCAGCTCATATAGCTATTTTTATTTATTTCCCTGATAATGAAGTTCTTTATACAGTGCATTGAACATGGCATTTCATCAGTATCCAATGAAAATAATAGGCGGCCTGTGGAAAAGTAGATTGCTTTCAGATGCTAGATGAAGGAAGGTATGAGTTGGACTTCCATAATTTGATTTCTCTTTGACGCATTATGGAACATAGATCACTCTTTATTATTTTTGTTTAATCTAAACATTACAAGGTAAAAGCACATGAAAGGTTAAGGTAAAAGTGCATGAAAGGTTTAGGTTGATTCAACTATACATCATATCAATCATGTTTTGGACTGTTGCATCCTATTTTCAATCAATGCGATTCTCCAATTTGACTTGTGATATATGAATGTTTTAAAGGGGGAAGATATGATAACATACGTAAAATAAAGAATCAAATTATTATGCTCATCACCAACTTTACATTCAATTTTTATTTCTCGGAAAAGTACTTTACATTCATTTGGTTCGTGCTTGATTTCATTCTTTTATGAAATTTTCTGCTGTTTTTCTGAGGTTGGGTTTTTAGACGAATAACCATTTGTTATGGTTCTCATAGAGCTGAAGAAAAGTACCAGTTAGGGACCGGCTTGATGTTAAGATCAGATGTGGGAAAACAAAATGGAGAACAAATACTTAGAAGAACCTTGCAGCAGCAGCAGCTTGTGAAACAAAGTTTTTACTTACATGGTATAATTTACAAAATTCGATCCTATTGGATTCCACCGACTAATATCCAGCCTCATCTATTGCACCCAACACTTCAAAATTCAGCTCTTCGATGCGAGATACCAAATTATGGGGCTCAGGAGAAACTTGCTGGCATGCAAACTCATTTATATTTTTGTGTAACTTAAGAGAGCCCATCTAGGGTTTGTTCAAAATAAGATCATGATGTCCTTAACCACTTTTTGGATGTTCATCATAGAGTATAGGACCGCTTCAATTGTACGTGCACCTCCTCCATCTTTTCTGTATATATGAACAAGGAGACGCAATAATATTTCTTGTCGATACTGTTCCTGCTGTTCATGAAATCCCACTAGAGTTCTCATCAAACTTCTCTGTTGCTGCACTCAAAACATTTTTCCTCACGAATATTATTAATGATCGTGGTTATATTTTTTTACCACATGTTGCCTCAATAGAGGCCAAGCTCCGAAACCATAGCAGGCCACTCCACTTGTCAGCTTGCAATGGAAGGTTTGTAAATAAATAAAAATAAAAATCTAAACTAAACTAAACTAAACTAAACTAAACTAAAAACATTTATGTCTACATGTTCCAATGCCCACGTTCCTGCCACAGCCCATTGCAAATTAATACAATACCAACAAAATTTTGTACGTACATTCAGAATGGTTGGTATGAGTTTGTCATTTCAGGAATAATATATTAACCAGGCTGCATGTTTTTCCTCCGTTGAAATGCTCATCATTATCTTTTACGTAAAAGAGGTGGCCGATGCAAAGAGATGCTGATGGTAGATGTACATGCACTTAGCATTGAGTGATTGCAGGGAAATATGGGTCGTAGAATCATCAACGCTTCCTCCAAATACGACTTTGTCAAGGTTCTTCATTTTCTTCGCATTTCTCCTCTGTTTGGTTCCTGAGAAAATCAGACTTGTAAATTTTTTGTTCTGTAAACAGGTGAAGGTGTGGTTGGGTGATGATGCCGAGCACTACTACGTTTTTTCCAGGTTTTTGCTCAGCCGAATGTTAACCGTCACTAAGGTCTCAATCCCACACAAACAAATTCAGCATTTTGATTCTTCTTGTATTAAGTGTCTGCCTCAATTCAATCTGTATTTCCTAATTACGTCTTCGTATAATTTTTATTTTTTTATTTTTACAATTATGTTTTTCTTTGTTTAATGAATTTGTGTGGTGATGGTTCAGATCCCAAATCAAGCAGCTGTCAAAATCGCGCTTGAGCTCAAGAAGCTGCTCGTAGACAACAGCCTTCTAGATGTGTATGCCGTCTCTTTTAGTCAAGCTACTTTTTTATTTTGGGATTTATTTTGTATATTGTTGTTTTTTGGGTTTCAGTTTTGTTTAGATTTTTATCAATGGTTTCACTTTGCATTTTTGTTGTGTTGCAGCTCGCAGTCTGATTTGGAAGCTAATATGTTTAAGGTAATGTCTTGCTTCTGTCTGTACGTAGTTGTTGTTCTTGTACCACAAAAGAGGTGCACTTAGCAAACTTTCAAGATGCTGAAGAATTTATTTATTTTGTTACACATCTCTATATTTGCAGCTTATGGAGCAAAGGGGTTATGGGGAAGAGTACGTAAATCGTTACAAGATGATGACTAGGTCAGTCCAAATTCCTTGTAGGTAGTACCTAGAAATTGAATAGAACGAAGAACATGGTAATCTTTTTTGCTGCATTTTATGGTAATACCCTACTTTCATTTGTCCTTTACTTTTCTGTTGGGGGTTCCCTAATTTCTTTCAGATTTCACCATCAAAGAGTGCCACTAATTATTCTTTTATGTGGAACTGCCTGCGTCGGAAAGTCCACCATAGCTACCCAAATTTCACAAAGGCTGAATTTGCCTAATGTCATGCAGGTCCTTTTTCTTCAATATCTTTCATGAAAATGCTATCTCCTTCCCTCCCTCCCCATGAAGTTTTATTTTATACAATTTGTGTTCTTTTAATGACTGTTGCAGACAGATGTAGTATATGAATTGCTGCGCACATCCACAGAGTATGTCTCTCAATTTTATTTATTTCCTCAATTTTACATTTGAATATATGCTAAAAACATTGGTTCTACTCTCTTTTTATCCAATTCAGTGCACCATTGGCGTCTACTCCTGTGTGGGCACGAGACTTCAGCTCCTCCGAAGAGTTGATTACTGAATTTTGTCGGGAATGCAGGATTGTTCGTAAAGGTAGTCTCCTTCCTTGTTAATACTTCTCTTCAGATGACAACTTTTGAAGATAACCATTAGAGAATCAGAATATAGTTTTGAGGCCCGTGAGAGCATGCCCAGCAGTTTCTCTCTCTGCAAGAACAAAGTTTTGTCTGAATTTTGCTGTTGATTTATAATCTCTGTCCTGTAACATGTGTTCCCCAGGATTGGCTGGTGATTTGAAGAAAGCACTCAAGGATGGAAAACCAATAATAATAGAGGTATTAGCAAGCATGTCATAGTTGAGTTATTTGGCTAAAAAATGTAGGAAGCATTGGCAAGCTCTCTGTGCACTCAGTTCTCACTGTCAACTAGGATGATTTCCAATATTGTCTTTTAATGATAATCACAGGGAATGCATTTGGATCCAAACATTTATTTAATGGATTATGAAAATAAACCATCAGCTCCTGTGGAAGAGAAAACTCTGGAGGCAAATGAGTGTGCCAGCACGGAAGAAGGGACAACAGCTAACAAGGTTAACAAAGTTTCAGACTACCTGGAAGCCATTGGCCTAGCAGGAAGTGTTTCTGAGATTAAAAACGGTTAGCAGCTAAGGATATTTCTCAGAAAGTTTATTTTATGTTTAACCAATTTTATCGAACACATGGCAGTTGTGCAACTACTTTTAAAGTGGTTCTAGTAAAAATCATGAAGGTCCATACAACCACAGACACATTCACATAATATTTGTTGAAGTGAAAGAGTTGAACCTTTAAGATATCACTTCGCTAACTAATTTTGTGGCAGTGCAGGTGCAAGTCCTAAAGGTCCAGAGGAGCTTAAACGTACTTCTGTTGAGAAAGAGAAGTCTGGACCTGGACCAATAATTATACCTCTAGTTCTGAAGATGGCTGAATTTGATCATAATGTGTGATCACGTCCTCTATCACTTATATAAATTTTTGTACAAATTCTATTTTTCCCTGTCCTTGTTTTGTATGTGTGAGTTCGTTGGCTTTGGTCTTGGTTGCTTTAGGTTCCTTTTTGGTCTGCATCGTAGGCTTCCAAATCATTAAGATACACTCGATAACATATAGTTTTCATAAAAACATGAATACAACTTCTCACACTTTTCCTCATGGCTCTTGGTAAAGCAATTCTCGAGTTTTCTGGTATTGCTGATGCAACTGCAAGATGATTGCTTTACTTTTATGGTTCTTATGTTCAGCCTTTCCCTCATTGTTTGTGTTGTCTTCTCAATTTTGCATCACTTTGTCTGACTACACTTCTTGTCTACAGACGTTACTAGAGGAGTGGTTCTCAACTTATACATTTAGTGATAAACTTCTAGGCCAGGTATTTACAATTGTATATTCTCTTTACTTGGATATAGGCTTATTTTTGCTGCTTCTTCTCATTTGAATAACATCCCAAGTGTTTGTTAATTGAGATAAGTTTTTAAAGTTAGAAACAATCCCCCTCAACCTTCTTGTTTCCTTTTCTAGGGCAGAGATAAGCTGATAAGCAACTTAAACACCATTCAGGACTATCTTTGCTCATTCAACTCCAAGGTTTGCATGTGCCTTCATGTAATTTCCGGTTCTTTTTAAACCCTGAATGGGCTCTTGGTTTATCCTTGGTTATTTATTCTGCCATTTTCATTCCAACAGGGCTCGACAGTTCTCAATCTATCAGCAACTACATTCAACCCAACACTGGATTGGCTGCATGGCTATCTTCTTGAGGTACTTTTGATGAACATTTGAAAATTCATGCATTCCTTCCAAACTTTCTGCTTCTTAAACCTGGAAAACTTGGATGTTTATATAGTCAAATTAATCAGTCCCAAGCCAACCCAAACTGTGACAGCTACATAACTCAGTTCAAGGTTCCCTTGATCCTACAACATGTTCTTAGTGGTTTTACTCCACTGGCTCATATTGTTATCTTATCTCTTTCCAGCATATCGAGCAAGGCATTTCGCCGCTGTCCAATGACAATGTCAGGCGGCTTGTGGAAAATTAGACTGCATTCCATTCAGATGTTAGCCAGCTCAAAGCAGGTATGAGTATGATATCTTTTTTTTTTCCCTTCGTTTTTTCTTATAACAAAGTATGTAACATAGGATAGCTGTGTATGTAATTAAGTTTCATTAATCCAATAATTACACAGAAGTGGAGAAAAGAGCCGATTTTGAAGGTTTCTCATTCAAAGCAGCAAATCGGTTTGGAGTTGGACAATCAAGATCAAAATGTATGCCAGAAAACAAAATGGAGAAGAACAAATCTTCAAAGGCAATTTCATATCCAGCATCTTGTAATGCAACCAAACACTTGCCCAAAATCCAGTTCTTCAATTATGCTTATGAGAAGACCAAATGGCAGGATTTGGATTTGGAGAAAATATGTAGCTACGAGTTTTTTATTTTTTCTCTTTCATGTTCTACCCTTATTCTGCTCTTTATTATGTTAATGGGAAGACCAAATGGCAGGATCATGATTTGGAGAAAACTGGTTGGCATTCAAAATCTATTGGGTAAATTCTACTTAAAATTAGTCTTGGCACAATTTGTATTTAAAATTATAATGGAATTTTGTGTTAAACTTATAATATTTCATTGCAGATGAAACTTGAAAGGTACGGTACACATTGATTGCATACAATTATACAAGAATGTAATGTAAAATGAATGAACTAAATCTCATCATCCCATAAGTCTTCTAGTGTCTTGTATGGGCTCGTGGTTTCATTCACAAGAGACTCTCCCCTCATGATCTTCCTTTCTTCCAATTTGTCTATCTCCATGAGATCGCAGTCGTCCAATTTCAGATCAACGGCCCCAATGTTCTCCTTCATCCTTTCTGGATTAAAGCTTTTCACAATCACACTTGATCCCTTTGATAATCCCCATCTTAAGGCAACCTATATTATTAAGTTAAAAATGTAGTAAACATTTGATTTTTTTTTACATGTTTTAAAAAAAATGTAAAAACCAAAAAACTTTGGGTTTGCTATTTGATTGGATTTTGTACCTGGGCTGGGGTTGCTTTGCGCTGGAGGGCAATGGACTTGATGATTGGGCTGTCCACCACAAGTGTTGATCCCCATGAATTCCCGGGCCCACCGAGTGGTGAATAAGCACTTACATGGATATTGTGGTCCCCACATGCCCCTCGAAGTTTTGTTTGCCTCCACATTGGGTGCATTTCCACCTGTATATATTATGATTGATGGTGATGACTGATGAGGAGGACAATAATATCCATAGTTGCCTTTGAATTGAAGAAATGCATTAACAGAAAATTAGAAAACCTAAATCATTGACTTTTCTATAGATAGTGGTAGTCTTTACTCTTCATAAAGCTGTGAGTTGTAACCAAAACCCAACACGTAGAATAATAAAATAGTAAAGGAATGGCCCATTACCCATTACCCATTACCCATTTCCCATAGGGGGTTGGGAATTTTTTCATGCATTTTCAAACCTAAACTCATGAATTTGTAATTATTTTGACTAAAGCTGTTGGGGTTGCAGAATCCCTGATAAATTTTACCTGATTGACTGCTGGAGGCACAGAAGCAAAATCCAAAAGCTGCTCAATCTTTCTGGAGGAGAAGTTGCTTACACCAATGCACCTACACAACCCCAAGTCCAGGCACTTCTCCATGCCAGCCCAGGTGGTCTCCAAGTCCAAATCTTCAAACTCATCTTCATTTGGAATGGGATTGCAAGCCCATGGCTTCAATTTCACTGGCCAGTGCACTAGGTACATGTCCAAGTGTTCCATGCCCATGTTCCTGCAACAATCAAAATCAAATCAAATATTTTTATTATTCACAATTAGATATTTGCATTAGTTTGTTTATTTCTTCTACAAAAGATATAGTATCTATCCATCTATCAACTTGCATGGATTTATTCTCAAAATCCTAGGCCATGGATTTTGTCTTCATTGATATCCTCATCCTCATTATCTTATCTTTTAGCTAAAAGAGGTGAGATCTCATCAAGAGAAGGGAGAAGAGATCCTGCTTATGTAAGAAGATCAAACCAGATTGTATTTGAATTCACATGCACTTTGAGTGATTGAAGGACATATGATATGGTATGGGTCCAAATTGAGTTGAATGTAATAAATATAAGTATATTATATATATATATATATATATATATATATATAGTTAATAATGGCAGCAATGGTTGCTTTGCTTACTTGAGAGTCTGCTTCAGTCCTGAAACAGGGTCATGGTGATCACTTCCCCATAACTTTGATGTAACAAAAATGTCTTCTCTTTTGAATTTCCCATCGAGAATGGCCTCTGTCAAAGCGCTTCCTAGGGCTAGTTCAGAACCGTATATCTTTGCAGTGTCAAAATGCCTATAGCCCATCTGCATTACAAAAATCATGCACTTTTAGAATATGCTCTCATTCATTTTGTACTTTATAAAAAGTTTTAATTTTTTTATAAAAAAAGAAAAAAGAAAAAAAGAATTGTACGGAGTGTACCTTGAGGGCCATATGGACGGCTTGTTGTGTTGTTTTCCTGTCATTTTGGAAGGAATAAGTGCCCAACCCAATGACAGGCATTGTTATTCCACAATTCAAGCGAACCTGATTGCTCTTCATATCTCTCTCTCTCTCTCTCTCTCTCTCTGTGTTTAGCCACAATTCAATGCAATGCATATCAAAAATGGCACTCTGGTGCAGCTATATATATAGAGAGAAGAACGTACGTCACCAAAATGTCAACATTGTTAACTGTTTTCTTAAGACACTTCAACCCCATTAAATATTTAAAACAAAAAATAAAGATTTGAAACTTACTTGTTTCTAATAAGTGATGATATGAAGACATTGAAATAGAATTATTGATTTGAAACAAACAAATCAAGTCATGGGATTTTCCATGTCTCTAGGGATTTCATAAAATGACCCAAATACCCAATGGACAAGTATCTTAGAGCATCACTTTGGAACAAGATTTAGCTGTACATATAAAATATAATTAAGAAACAAATTATTTTTTGGAAATGTTTATATCAAAGTCAACTAGTCTCTGCCTCTGTGTCACCATCAAAGCAGCCGTTGCTTCTCAGAATTACAGGTGTTACCTCCTCCTACCTTCTCTCCCCTTCTCCCTCTCTCTCTCCCTCTCTCTCTCTAGAGCAAGAATTGAAGACAGGCAAAATGCTTGAGCGTGCAAAATAATTATCTTTTTTCAAAGGGTTTGTTGACTCCTAAACAATAAAAAAATGAATTTAAGTAATTGGGTATTTGACATGCAAATTTGTCAATGCGTTAAGTCAACGGCAATTGAAATTTTAAGTAATTTATTTATTTATATAAGCATTGTTCTTCCTTAGTCTTGCCCGCTCTCAGTTGACATTGCTCCAAAGTCAAATGGAGGCACATTTGGACGGCTTTATTCTATTTAGTTATCAGTTTGTTGTTTAATATTGTAGTTTATGCAGTCTAATCTTTAAGCAACGAATCTGAATATAATTTTCTTCGCTTTGACAATTTTTTCCTATTTCACTTTCTTCACCTTTCAACATCAACTCTTTTTTCAGAATTTACTACTCAAAGTAGCAGTACCAAGTTGATTTATTATACAATATATTTCAAATCCTTTTTTTCTGGGAAAATCAAAATCGGATGGAGCGAGGTGATTACAGTTATTTTCAATCCCTTCCTTCCCTTCCCAAGATATGCATTTTGTTATAATAACCTCAGATTCTGGAGACATTCACTACAAGACATGTTGCATATTTTTGGAGCACCGCACCGCAACAAGAAAGACGCGTGAGGATCCTAAAAATCCTGTCATGTGAAGCTCGGATTTTCTCATGTTCCTCTGTGATCTTGTAAAAGCCGCAACTCATTTTGTTTGTTTTTTTTACGAACATATAAATATAATCACAAATTAGTATTTTACAAATCTAAAAAGTAGGCAACAATTACATTTACACTTTTTACATACATGAAGGCTGGAAATTGTTTTTACATAATTAGCATTACAAAAGCAGAAAAACAAGATGTTTTCCCCTACACATTTTTCACATAAATATGCTTCAACAGAAAGGTCCATGTTGTAAACATCTGAAACAAAACAGAAAAGTTAGCAAGTTATAAGTCAAAGTTCATAGAAAATCCATAACACTACCAAAACGCAACCTTATTTTTTTTATAGGAGCTACCAAAGTGAAAATGAACATGAAAAAAAATACAGTAGAAAGAATATATGGTAATGAGGCTGGAGAGGTACCGAATTCACATGATTCTCCAAAAACAACCAAAATCACTACTTCTGCTTAGCTGCAACAGTCCTTTGAACAGTTGAAACTCCATCCACAAATTTGGTCCGGAAAAGAACATTAGCATTGTTGAACATGCCTTCTTTCAGTGAAACCACAATAAACTGCAAAATGTGATGAGAACAAAGAGAGAGATGAAGACAGCTTGATTATAATTTATAAGACATCATTCATTCTTACTTAAACCCCATGCATAAAGCACCATTCTTATTTAAGCCCCATGTAAGAACTATGTTTCCCATACAATGATTAAAGCCAAAGTTCGGACCCTTTAACAGTTCAAAATTCTTCAGAGGTTTCAATCAAAGTTTATCATGAAAAGAGAAAAGAAAAAAAAAAGCCTACGCAAATGAGAGAATCCACCAGACCTGGGAGTGTGGGAAATGAGTTTTGATCATTCTTCCAATATTCTGTGTGTGGCTTAGATCAAGAGCCGCATCAACCTGCAAATGAAGAGAATGTCATGCCGACAAAAATTACATCTAAACAAATAGAGAGCAACATATGCCCTTAGAAACTCTATTGCAAGTACTATAAGCAGCCTACTACATTACTCCAAACAAAAAAGGGTAGCTGGATTTAGCAATATGGAGTAGCTGGATATATCATAAAGTAAGCACATCATAAAGTAAAAGTTAAGCGGACCTCATCCAGTATATAAAGTGGAGCTGGTTTGAAGAGAAGCAATGCCAAGATGAGAGAAAGTGCAAGCAGCGATCGTTGACCCCCACTCAGTTCTGACAAGGACTGTTTCCAAACACCACCAAATGCAACACGAACCTCAAGTCCATCTAGGAAGCTGCACCCTTCAGGAGGTTCAAGCTTTCCCATTGTGCCAGGCAAAAGGGTAGAAAAGATAGATCCAAAGTCACTGAAGGAAGAAAAATTTGGAAGTTGTAATGGAAGAAAGAACCAAGAGCATCATAAAAATAGAGAACTAAGTAGATGATTATAAAGTCAACTAAATTTCAAAGCAGGTGATGACATAAAAGAAGACTTACTTGTTAACTTTTACCCAAGTAACTTTCAGTGTTTCCTTCTTTTTCTCATCCAGCTCTTCTATCACCTTCTTGATCTTAGACTTATCATTCTAGGAAAGGCAAACCTAGAGTAAGAAAAAGAAAGCTAAAATGGTATTTGGACAGATCAAGGGTAACCAACCTCAATGATGTTCTTCTTAGACATGAGATCGTTGTACTCATCTTCTGCTTTCTCGAACATTGCCATAACTTTCTTATTCACTCTTTTCTCAAGACTACAAAAGAAGGGGGAAATGTCATCTTTGCATCATGGAAGTTACTAATAGCATAACTTCAAAAGTTTAGATCATCTCAAAGTGAAAATACTTCAGTCTTAGAAGCAGACAATCAAAAACAAAAGAGATGAAAAAGAAAATTCCAAGTCACAAACCCAGACTGTTGTGCCTGCAGTTTCTCAAGTTCTTCCCTTGCATTACGAGGATCTCGCAAGCCAAAATCATAATCAGTCCCAGTTTTACCAAATAGTTGTTTCTCAGATGCAATCCAGGCATGCTTCTCCATCAATTTGTCTACTTTCGTAGAGCAATCTTTCTGTTCCATTTCCATTCGTTTTACCTAGAAAAGAAAATCAAAGACGAGGTTGGTTAGCATATAATGTTCTGGAGAACATATATAGAGGGAAATTAGAAAATTACCTCATTTTCCATTTTCTTCCGTTCAAGATTTGTCTCGCTAAGTTCATGTTGAAGTCTTTGCTGCTCCTTAAGAATGCCACTAATTTGGGAATCACAGTCCTTCATCTTCATCCGAATCGAATTAAGTTCAGATTGTGCCTGATCATGCATATTTCTTGTGGAAGCTACCTGCAAAAGAGATGCATGCACCATGAAAAGTGTACACATGAGAACTAGTCAAATCAAATATCAGTCTTTACCTTTTCTCTCTGCTCTTCTACTTCTGAAGTTAGGTTGTCAATTTGCGTTCTCAAAGAAGCTAACTGAGTCTCCAAAGATGCAAGTTCCTTTATAATATCTTCCTTTTCCAAAATAAGCTTCTCTTTTTCATTTTCATGCCCCTAGCAGTGAGTAAAACCATGCCACACAAAAGTTAAAGAGCTACTGCAGAATCAAGGCAGATATTTTTACAAACTCGGCAACTAAAATAACCTGAGCAGTTGTCTATAAAAATTAGCTACAAGATCACTTCTGAATAACATGAACATCCTACAGAACTCCCAGGCTTACATGATATTCCCCCAGTTTTTATGTGGTTTCAAGTTTTAACATTGACAGACCCTGCCTCTCAAGTTTATATAATGGAAAGAGAATGAAATAGAATGGTTATATTACGAAGTAAACTAAAAATAAACTACAATGAATTAGCTTGAAACCTCAAGGGAGGAGTACTATATTTAGAAAACCTCATGTGTGGACAATCCTTATATTACAACTCGGCAATATCAAAATATACCTTGAGATTCTTTGAAGCTGATTGCATTTGAGCTTTTGTTTCTTTAATCTTCTTTTCAAAATCTTTGAGCCTTCCCTCCCGGCTATTATCATTATCTTTGATTGATTTCTCAAGCACTAACACTTTATTCACACAATCTTCATAAAGAAGCTGCTTTTCTTTAGCTGCAGATTGCGCTTCTTCAAGCTCCTGCTCAATCCTTTTTACTAATTCACCAAGCTAGGTAGCACCAAAAAATAATTATACATCAAATGATTGCATGAACCAGTAAAGGAAATTGAAGAATAAATGTGTGCTCTGTATGCCCAGAAAAAGAGAGAACTGGAAACCTTATGATGCTCATTTTGCTCAGCCCTGCCCTGAAATAATGAAAGGTCATACGATTTAAGTTCTAACTGTGCTTTAAGGTCCATGAACTTCTTCTGAAGAGGCAGAAGCTCTGTAATCTGCAATTTAAGAATCGACAAAAATATAAATGAAATATGTAAGAAGATCAACTCATGTACAAATGCTTCCAATTCCCAAGGAAATGCAGAAACAGCCACAAAAACACAGTATTAATGTATTGAGTTGCAATTAAGAAGGGCCTGACTATCACAAAAGTTCATCTATTCTTATGCAGAGAAAAAAAAAATCCTCATGGTCAACCTTAGCTTCGATTTCAGTCAATCTTTTCTGATGCACAAAAAGTTTTTGTTCAGTCTCAGCCAGCTCGTGCAGTTGCCTTAACAGATCACCCCCACCCCTGTGACAGTAAATTGTTGCTTTAGAAGGCTGACTAACTAGATACAGACATAATCACTTGAAAGCATCTTTTAGTTTTTCTAAAAGAAATGTTAGCTTTTAGTTACTCAGGGGAGCATTAAAAATGATTAATAAGACAATGATAAGTTTGAAGCATTAGTCAGGAAAATGTTAACAATAGCAATGTTTTGAGAGAAAGAGGAATAAAGCATCAGATATATCCATGTTTAGACCAATTTGAACTAAGGAGGAAAAACCAACACTGACTTACTTGCGGCTTCCACCAGTCAAAAGGCCACTAGGCTGAAAGATATCACCTTCAAGAGTGACACTTGGGGTGCGAATTTCCCTGTTAAAAGCAACCTAGAAAACATTCAAGAAGATGCAGAATGTGTCATGCACCCTACTAAAAATAGATTTGAATGGTTTAGAAGTACATATTATAGAATCAAGCTACAGAAAATCAAACTTCTGCATGCCAAAAGATTCAGCATAAACAGGTAAAACTTCAGAATAAGCCATCTCCTAAGCAAGCACAAAAGCTACAACTTGAATTGCACTGTTCTAGAAATGTTACATGAACAAATTAGCAAAGTTGGTCCTACCTCCTTTGCAGCATCAATAGTTTTGCAAACAAAGGTCGAACCAAAAACGAATTCCATAGCAGTCTGCAATAAACATTGAATTTAGTTAAAAAGCGCAATATAAATTCCAAAAGTCTGTTGATAGTGTCTGCACAATATCCCAAAAGACAAAGCCTACAACAAATTCCAAGCACCCACAATTGTCCAAGTACAGAGAAACCGGATGAAAGAACTCTACACTCCCTAATATATGTATTAAAAAATAAAATCAGGTTTAAGTTTTATATGGGCCTGCTCGATGCATACTCTTAAGTCCTCATCATAACCAACCAAAGAAAGTGCCAATTCTGCATTCTCCTTGCCAACCTGAAATTGAAATCAAGGTTTTCAGCAAATGCACTACACAGCACGGAAAAGAGGGTGGGTGTATTGATAGAGAAACTAACCAATTTAACCGCAGCATGTTGAACCCTAGGATGAACAGTATAAGGTTGTATTTTGTTCAAAGGTATAATTGTTACTCTTCTTCGAAGGTTTCCATTCTGAAGAAGTTGTTTTCCTGTACTCTCTGTGTCTACAACGACATTAAACAGCTTTCCACCAGCAGTAACCTGCAAATTGTATTAATGTAAGAGTTGATACATAACCTAATCCATGAAATGAAATTATGTGTAATAATTCAACCCTGACCTCTAAGGCAGTCATCGTGGAGCTATCCTTCACTTTGATAAGTCTTGCAACTACACCCTTGACCTTGGACCTATCAAAATTCTTCTCAGGATCCCGATATGTGAAGTCAACATTTGCTAATTGACCAGAAAGATTTCGCATTTCATCCTTCAACTTCTGCACCTGCTCCAACTCATATGCACGATCCTGAAGAAATATACATTTACAGAAATAAGAGCCAAATTGAGATGACAAACTATTTAGGTGCAGAGCGAATGATCAAACAGAAAGCATGTTAACCTTTTGTAATGCTTCCATCTGGCCCTCCTTATATGGAAGAGACTCCTGTGCCATTTTAACATTTGCCAGATCTTCTTTTCTAGCAGTAAGCTCCCTCTCTACGGCAACAGCTTCTTCACGCTTTGACATTAGCTGATTATTTTTCTCTTTCAACTCCCTTTGACAGTGGCTTATTTTTGTTTTCAGCTGTTTCAACTCTGTTTCAGCACTCCCAACAGCTATTTTGGCATCACCCAATTGATCTTCAAGGCATTTCTCATCATTTCCACTACTCTTTCCAGCTAGTATGCCCTAAACATAGATTTCTTGAATTAATCACCCTAATCACAGTGACAAATACTTTGGTTTGCAGACAACTGTATTCATTAACATTGGCAATATTAAGTAGAAAACCAACATAGAATACAAATCTTACCTGGTACTCCTTTTCATACTCATTCAGACTCTGAGAAAGTTCCCCTGCTCTCTTTTTCAAATCAGCCGCACCTTCATCAGCTTTTTTTATAGCAAAGTCCGTCTCTTTTGCAGACTGCTTCATGTCTTCAATATTGCTGACAATCTGCCAACATCAAGATGCAAATACTATAATTATTCAATTGTTAAGCCAAGGAATACATGAATAACTATATAGCAAACTTGAAAGAGCTCAATAGAATAAGAAGAATGCAGTGAATCATAGAATATAACCAGTTACCTTTTCAGCATTTTCCTTTTCAGTCCCCAGAGTGTCCTCTTTATTATTCAGTACAGACACTTCCCTCACAAGATTTTGAGAAAGCGCATCTACTTTGTCAGACAAAGTTTTTACTTCTCCACCCATTCTAGCCTCCTTTTCAGCTGTTAACTTAGACACTTGTGCTTCCATTTCTTGTATTTCTGCCTGCGTCTTTCTCGTATCATCGTCAACCTCAGAAATTCTGGCCTTCACCTGCTCCACCTCACACACTGCACTGTCTCTAATCCTCTCTGCTTGAACATATTCATATGCAATGCAAAACCTTTTAAGCCGATCCAAGTCAGCATTTCCATTAGCCCATTGCATGTACTGTGTCCTTTCTCTCCTCAACTTGTCCAAGGCAGGCAGTATCTCCTGGTCAAGAAGCTTATTGATCTCATCGACTTTGCTCTGTTTCTTTTCAAGTGTCTTCAAAGCCGCCTCTTTCTTGGTCTCATACATTCTTGTCCCAGCAGCTTCTTCAAGCATGGACAGGATCTCGGGGGGTTTCATATTTAAAACCTTGGTAATGCGGCCTTGCATTATAAGAAAATGCGGGTTGTTAACATTGAGCTGCACCGAATGAAAAAGGTTCTGGACCTGACTAGGCTGCGCAAGTTTGCCATTGATCAAGTACTTGTTCCTTCCACCAACCACAATCTATAAAGCAAACCAATAGTTTCTTATCACATACTTAGCAATTAACTCCATTTTGAACCCAAAAAATAAAAATTTGGATACAATTCGATAAATACAAAGGCCATTATAACCACTCGAGCAAATTATCACTAAATCCAACACTAATGACAGTCAAGGAAAGAAATTTTTACGCAAGAAAACCCAAAATTGAACGCCAAAAAGAGACCCAATTACCGAAACCGGCAAATGACTTACCTGACGGGTGACTGTGATTTCGGGATGGGCCTCGTAGCCAAGGGGACTGCGGGAGCGGTCGGAATTGTCGAAGACAATGGAGACGGTGGCCTTTGTAATGCCGGCCTGGCCTTGCTTGTAGACGAGCTCTTGGAGATTGGCAGCCCGGACTTGCTGCAAATTGGTGATGCCCAAGACGAAGCAGATGGAGTCGAGGATGTTGGATTTGCCCGACCCGTTGAGACCTGTTATGGCGTTGAAAAACGGGTCGAACCCGGGCACCACCGTCCTCGTCGCGTAAGACTTGAACCCCTCCAAGCATATCTCCTTGATGTACATTGCTGAGCTTTTCCAATTTCAAAGGAGAGTGTACGTACAGTGAGAGAGATTGAAAACCCTAGACGAGGAGCGTCTGCTTCTCTTCCTTTCCTTTCCTCTCCTCTGTAACACTCTGAACTCAAAAGTTTCGAATTTCAACACGCGGCACGTGCAAGGCGGGAAAACTACTTGGCTTCGATTCAAGAGAACTCAAAAGGAAAGTTGGGCCTTTATTTTAGCACTTGGGCTACACCCAAACGGCGTCGTCCCTGAAATTGGTAACTACATAACATGATCAAAAGCCCAACTGAGAAGTAAATTTAGATATTGGGCTACACTAATTGATCGATTTTGTGATTATTTTTTTTGGTCGAAATGTTTTTGTGTTCTATATTATTACAGAACCAATCCTCGCATTTGTTGTCATTTACATTTTCACATTCTATATATGAAAATTTACCTTTGTTCAATTTTACAACAAAAATTGATTGCATATATCTACATGTCAATTGTCATAGACATGAAAAATTACAAGCATCAAAAATGCCATTTTGGTCTTACTTCCTCTTCCTTCTCAGTCAACTCCCTATACTGATACCATTCTGCTCCAGACTTACCCACTGGCAATGGGGGCCTAACAAATATTTCAACTGGCTTCGGGACATGCACGGCTAAATGCAGTTCTCCTGCAGTTGCTTCCGTTCTGGAATCGGAACTTGTCGATGATTTGCAAAGGGGTTCAACAGTGATCCATCCTAAACCTGATATGGCCACATCACAAGCCGGCCTGCATGAACAGAGAAGAGAAGAAACTTTTCATATTGGCTGACCAAAATAATTATGCGTGAATTCGGCATTTACATGGGATCAAAATCAAATAACAAATGTTGAAAGAGGTAAAGTTAAGAGCATGAACAATGCACCTCTCCACATCTTCAATTTTAATTTGCAACTGACGCTCAGTTTCAAGTCCTCTCCATTCATCTGCTCTTTGTTTTCCAGTTGGAGGTGTTAACAGAACTCCAAGTTCTTTCTGCAACATGTCAAAAAAATCCCACAGCGTTCATATTGAATGTAACATATATGTAAGAGAAATATGCATACACGGCCCAAGAAGGTAGCTTTCAAAATATTTCGAATACCTGCTTTACTTATAAAAAGATTACAAAATATGATTAATCTCAAGTGAGACCATGGTTTACCTGGTAAAACTCATCTGCCTTGTCAGAAGGTACCATATGAATCTGAAGACTCTTTGGCCCGTAAAATGTCAATCGTGTTTCAGGGAGAACCTGAAATTATCGACAGTTTGATCAGTCAGGAAAGACCATCCATAATGAGCCTGATAAAGTCAATATATGTGAAACTACCCAAAACCTTCAAGACATCTACTCTGACAAGACCTCCCCAGAATATTGAATAGCCATTCAAACCATTGGAATTGTCATTCCCTGCTGTTCCATTTCCAGAGGACACCTGAGAATTCTGGTTAAGAATAACCAAAAGTCACTAACTAGAAGATAACAACAGATAAACTACTAAAAGGATAAAAATACAGGGTAAGAATGACCCCCTAAGCTGACTAAACATACAGGAAAAGATTGACCCCTTAGCCGACTTTGAGGAGCAAGGGCAGGTAGATCTTCTGAATGAACCACTGCTGCTTGCCTATGGTGGAGATGAACTCCAGGTGTGTCATATAATTTCTGCATGAAATAGAAGGTTACTATGCTAGATTTGAAAAGTTCTTGATAAATAAAGATACTGTGGCATACCCCTCCTCCTAGGAAAGCATTAATTTGAATTGGACCTAAGGTAGTTCCCGGAACTGCAGATTGTATTGGTTTGTACTTTTGCGCTGATGCAGCAACTGGATCGTTTTCTGCCATCATTTCTGGTATCACAAAAATAATAAAAAGTCAAGTAAAAGGAAGAACAGCTCATTTAGTAAATGAAACACTGGTCAATTATCTTTCTGAAATAGAACTGTATCTAACTTTAATCTTGAATAAGCTACATGCCTACCAAAGGCAACAAAACACAGAATGAATATCATTAACTTACTCAGCAAAGCACTGATGAATGCTGATTTCCCAACATTTGCTGAGCCCTATAGAAAAAAGTGTAATGTGAACTATCAAATATGAAAAGATAAATATACATACATATATTTCTCAAATAATGAAAATATTATTTTTGATAAATTAGAGCAGAGTAAAAGACTTGTAGTAATTAAAACCAAAGGATAATCAATTGATAAGGAAAAAGAACGACAACTGTTTTCCCTCTTGTTGCATGTATTATGTACACAACTGTTCAGGTTTCAAAATGTTTTAGAATCACTTGACAACAGCACATACTGAGTACTAAATGCATTAAGTAAACTTCCAGTTAAGAGACTAACCAGAACATAAACGTCCCGCCCCTGCACCAAAAAACAGCCAATGAATTCAGGTTGAAATAAATTTAAATGATACACATTTATATTTTGTTCCATAGAATAGCAAGTAAAAAATAGGTCATCCTATTTACTCAGCTAGCTTTAATTTTTGATATCAATTAGTCCGATTAATGAACTTCACACATGCACATGCGCACAAGCACAAAAAGAGAAGTAAAGAACCTTCTTCTCCTTTTGGATCTCTGATGCAACTCCAGTTACTCCAACCAAAGACTTCGAACTTGTCAGATGAACACTTATAACACTGCAAATAATAGAGTCTTAGAAGTATAATTCAAGCTTCAATTTTAGTAACCATCGTTTCTAATAACTCAAACTACAGAGCCCTAATCCCAACTACATGGGACCAGTTTGCATGAATTCCTTTCTCATCAAGAATTCCAGGAAACTCTTTAGATTGATAATATTATCCATAAATAAAAGCATAGCCAAGGAAACCAATCTTACTTAAGCTTCTTCTTTGCAGTGGCCTCTACAACCCAATCACCAATACAATTAAAATCAGTCCCTTTGGGAAGTAAATCAACCTGATATTAGAAAGTATAATCAATAGAAAAGTCGCTTACATCAATATCACATTAAATAAGCACCAACAGGCAGTTTAATACCTTAGTAATCACTAATATTATAGGATTTGCACCAGCCAAATCACGCACACGAGCCAAAAAGCTACCATTGAAGTCCACAATATCAACCTATACGCGAGTAACCGATTAAGACATAGAATTTAACATTCCTCAAGGCAACTCACTTACTTCGTAGCAACGCAAATGTTAGAAAGTACTTTACCAATTTAACTATCAATGCTCTCTCATGGCGCAGGTGTGCCAGCTTCTCCCGAAGCTGTTCAGCCATAATGAACTGTTTCCCGCCAGAATAGCCCCCATTCCCACCAACAGCAGTTATCATGTGCCCATGTGACAGAAGCTTGCACCTTCCGCATATAACGGTTTTAAGCTGGTGGTGCTTCTTCTTCTGCGCATTTACATTTGGTAAGCAAAAGCAAAATATGAGCATCTGGAACTCAAGTAAACATCAGTAAAAGCATTTTGGACTAGGAAGTGCTTTTCTTGCTTTGAAATGCAATAACTAAAATTTAACTTAAATACCAACAGCAAAATTACAACCCAATTCAGTAAAAGCACTTTGGACCTGGAAGTGCTTTTCTTTCTTTGAAATGCAAGAACTAAACCTTAACTTAAAACACCGACAGCAAAATTACAACCCAATTCAGTAGCTAAAAAAATTAAAATCCCATCGTCAAAACAAATGAAATTAAAGTCCTACATGAATAATTTATACCAATGCGTAGGTCTCGGGGTCCGAATAACCCGGAGCATCAGGCTCTGAAGTCTGTAACGGAGCTCCACATCCATAACAACAAGCGACGTTCGTAGAAACCTTCACGGGCTTCTCTTTCTTCTTCTTCTTTTTCTCTTTGAGCAAGACCTTTGCAGTCTCAAAGGAACGGTGTCGTTCGAGGAACCGGTCGCCTGGGGTCGGTGCGGCCGCTCCGATGCCGTCGGGTTCGGGTGGGGGATCCAATGATTGGGTCTCTGAAACGGTTGCTTTCTGATGGGTCTTTTGTGGCTGTGAAAATCTGCAGAGTATGAGAGTGGATTTCGAGTGAAGATTGAGAAGCTTGGTGTTTGGGATTGTGAGGTGGTAGGGGAGAGTGAAAGGTGAGAGGAAAGATGAGAGGGTTTTAGGCGCCATTGCTGTTAATGGATTTGGACTTGTTTTGATAATATTTGTGTTTTTTGTACGTTTAGATTGCACATGAGAGCAATCGTCGCCGTTCATTTTCTAATTTCCGTTATTAGTCTTTAAATTATATATATGTAACAAAAATCAAATGAATTAATCGAAAAAAAGACAAGTTTCTTGTGAGATTAATCAAACAGGACTTTATTAGAATGATCTATTTTAATAAGATGTATCTTATTTTGGACCGATTAATCGAATCTTTATTATGTTAATTCTAATATTTGTAATGAACTTGTAATTTAAGTAGTTAAATAATATGTTCTAGATCACGTGTTCGTCGTATAAAAAATAAAAATTAAGATTTCGGAAAAAACTAATAAATTTTTTAGCCGTACATAACAACAAACTACAAATGTTACAGAAGAAACAAGAATTAATGACTAATGCTAATAACATAAGAAGCACATTATCATAATAGAATCTGCCCTAATGGTTTAATTTCAGAAGACCCCAACTCCCACTGTAACTCCTGTAAGAGAATCTGGAACTTGGGTAGGGAACACCACATTGTCATATAGAAGTCCAGCAACTGCAGCACCAATCAAAGGTCCTACCCAGTACACAGCTTGGTTCTTGAAGCTACCGGCAACGACTGCAGACCCAAATGCACAAGCCGGGTTCATGGATCCACCAGAAAATGGCCCAGTTGCCAGGACATTGGCTCCTGCCATCAACCCAATTGCCAGGGGCCCAATGCCTCCAACCGCACCATTTCTAGGATCACCAGCAGCATAAACTGTGTACACCAACCCAAATGTAAGCACGCCTTCCAAAACTGATGCCCCAAAACCTGTCATTTCTTCTGTAATTGCATATGCTGGAACATGCTGCATAATCCCCACAAAAAAACCCCAAAAAAGAAAATTGTTTAGTTAAAACTTGTTAAGATCCTGCATTTATAAAAACCCAATAGACTAAAACATACTAGAATTGTAGCTATGTGAAAGAAAAAAAGTACCTGCCCAACAACAGTCACTTTCAATAGAAGGCAAGCCATGACAGAGGCCACCATCTGAGAAATCCAATAGCAGATGGCATTGGGGACACTAATGTGTCCCCCCACGGCCTTGCCAAAGGTGACAGCCGGGTTCACATGGCCACCGGAGGCGTTCGCTGCGATGTACACGGCCGAGGCCAATGCAAAGGCATTGGCTATGGCAACCACCACCAGACTAGCTGGGTCTGATGCAGCATCTGGCATCAACTTTCCTGGCAGTGCCATACAACAAAAGCAAACATATTAATGGCTACAAATTAAAGTAACAACAACAATAGCAACATTTCCCATCAAACTGTTAAAAATTAAGGGACTGGTACGTCCAAATTTCATGCTTCCATTAATGCTTCTAGTGTAACAGACCAAACAATATGATATATGCCTCAAGTTACAAGTTAGAACACAATAAATTGAAAATCCTCCGTTAAAAACTGACAGAACAAAACTCTTTAGAAAGAGAGAAAAGAGAATGACTCACTGGAGGACATCATAGCGCCGACAACAGCAAACACAAAGAAGAAGGTTGAGATAAACTCTGCAAGATAAGATCGAAGAGCATTGGGAGTAATTGCTTGCTGAAATCGAGCGGTTAGTGCAATCCTAGCCATTTTGCCAGAAAATCAGTCAAATCAAATGTTAGAGAGAAACAATGGATTTCACTTTCAGGGTTGGTTTGAGTAAACGAAACTAAAAACAGAAATGAATGAAAGCAAGCAGTTAATGCAAATTTGCTCTGTGTAGGAGGAGTTATTTATATATTCAACCAATAAATGCAACGTTTTGGTGAAGGGTTGTGTTGTGAAGGTTATACAATTCAAAAAGAAAAATGGAAAAAAAGGGTTAACCGCCAAGCCACGTAGGTCATGTCTATGTGTGTGATTGGGAGGACATGGGTGAATTGCGGTTTATATCGTTGTACACTTTCGTAATGGTCATTATCTGTTTTCTTTTCTTCTTTATTTTTTTGGTGGAAATTATCTTCTTAATTTGTTTATCTATACTGAGCTATTTACTTAATTTTGTTGGTTTGTTTTGCACAATTTATATACTAGCCCTTCCGCTCGCGCTTCCATTTTAATAACGTGCGTTGCGTGACTTAAAATACTTTTTTTTTATTTTTTTATTTTGTTATTTTTGCAATTGCTAATAACCAAAATTTTAAAAGACATGAAAACATGAGTCTTATTGCACTTAAACTCGATCAACAACATTTACAAAGACAAAAAGAATCAAAATGAAGGCTCTCAAGGTCTTAAAATTGAAAGCAGCACATAATCTTGAAGAACTCCAAACACTCAGCAAACGAGGCCTGCCTCTTAGGTCTCTTTCTGCTACACCTCAATTCCATTTCCCTCCTTGTGTACTGCTCTAACACATCTTCTCTATAAATAAAGTCCTCCATGTCGTATTTCCCGAAAAGGAAATCTCCCATCCCATTATTCAGTGGCACTGCTGCATCACTAGAAGAAGCAGGCACCACCACCAAAGACAGAGAAGAAAGATGAGAAGGTGGTGGGTTTTCCATTATGGCTTGCTCTGTGCACCCATCTCAGAAAGAAACTTGCCTAGCCATAGAAGAAACAGATTGATTTGAAATGGTATAAATAGATTGATTTGCTTGTATGTAAGGTAATTTGTATTTTAATTACCATAGGAGTCTGAAATTGCAAGCTAGAGGAGAGATCAATAAAACGCGGCAAAACCCATTAATTAGTATTAATTTGTGATTATCCACTTTATGATGACATGGCGGGTTGTTTTTAGCAGAGATACGATACCATAATTACCATTAGGAAACAAGTGGGAAACTTCCCCTTAAATTATACCAAAGTTAAAAACATACAAGAAGATGAATTAGAAAAGAACCCAAGAAGCAGAGCCCTCTTTCAACTTTCTCAGTGGATTGATTCATTTGTGGTTCAGCTATTGGGCTGGGTAGTACATGTCATCAAATTCTTGGACATTTTTTAAAAAATGAAAGAAAAAAAAAAAAAGGCCTCCCCGTGGGCTTCTTGTAGCTAGTGCATCATCTTCTGGAAATCAAAAACTTCGAAAAGGTTAAAAAGAGAAGGCAAAAATATTTCATCAGCTGTATACTGAAGCAATAAGCTGTAAAACTGGAAAGTGAGAGCTTTTTAAAATTGCATGTCTCCAGTACTCGCTGCAATGAAACCGGGAGATCAAACTCTATATAGACTGAGGTTTATATAGTTTAATGACTTCTCGTGTATGTGATTCAACCATTTTACAACAATGACGAGCTCACACACATAAAGCCCCTGGGTGCTTAAATTTTACAATGCCTGCATTTCCATATTGGTATGCCCGTTGTTGTCAGCAGAGGACGGTGCAGCAGAGTCCTGGTTGTTGTCATCAGCAGGCTTCATTTGTTGAACAGGGGGAGGGTTGACGACGGTCATTGGCATCACAGCATTGTCCGATAGGCGGCCCTTCCTCTCCCTGTGCTCCTGGCACAAGGCACACCAGTGCAAGCAGCAGTGGGTCAAGCACGGGTCACACGGCGAGTTCTGCAGTCAACAAGACAGCTTAGCATTGAGCATCATTCGGTTAAGAAAAATATCTTCCACTGGACATCAATTAGAGAAATGGAGAAGAAATAAGATTACCTGCAGATGATATTTTTTCTGTAAGGATTGGCGAACAAGTCCTGTGTACACCCCACACATCCACCAAGAAAATAACAGACCCTCACAAATAAGAAACGAAGTCTTTGGGTCAACACCATAGAAGATTGCAGTTGCTGCTGCCAGAGCCATGCCACCTTCAATAAAAATGGCATGACAAATGCATGGTCTCGTCCAAGGGATATCATCTCTTAAGCTTTCAACATTATGCCCAAACAGAACACACGGACAAAAGAGCCCTGACAAGCCTGAAGATGTGAAGAAACACAATGTTATCAGTAGACTGTTTTCATGTTGCAGTAAAACCAATTATTGGAACCAGTCTTAATACACAGTAGTAAGAGCAAGGAGGTTTGTGCTTATCCATCACAAGGACATGGTCAATTAATTGAATGGGCATAAACATCCAAATTGATAAAATGTAATAAGAGAATGTGGAACAGTGCATTGCTAGAGTTATAGAGTAACATATTTCAAAGTTTTAACAAACAAGTGAAAAACCCTATTGTGAGGGCTTGCTTATGTTTCTAAGCCAAGCTTGAGAGACACCAAATCCCCCCTTAAAAGAAGGTATCTAATTAAAGAAAAATCAAAGATAAGCATAAGCTTCATACCATATCACAGTACAAGAGATGAAAAGCTAGTTCCCATATCAACTTACAACTTTCTCTATCCTCAGCACAGCCAAAAATTCCAGTTGTCCAAGGTTCATCTGCAGGGGGCTGATAGCTTTCAGGTAAAGGTTGTCCGCATTCGTTACACCTGTGAACATTCAACTGGCCCATAATACACCGGATTAGTTGGTGTTTACATCCTTATCCAAGACTAACCTCCAATGTAGGGAAAGTCACATGTAAAATTTAGAAACTCATTAGCATCTACCCCATAAATCCGCAATATAAATGTAATTTGTAACCATATTCAAGTTGTAGCCAGAAACATATAGTCGCCTTTTTTTTTGGGAAATCACACGCATCCTCGATCTATATAGGCAATCAGGTTAAAGAATGCAGTGTGATAAACTTATAAGTTAAAAGAATTTCAGATCCGGCCAATTATTTAACGTACAAAAGATTTACAATGATACAAGGTTTTTAACTATGATTTGAAAAATCTGATTTGCAAAGTTCCCCACAAAACTTAGAAAGTAAATTAGAAACATATGAGGTCACTGAAAAAATACGAAAATCCCAAAAATTATATACTATAAGAAACAAAACAAATCAGCTAATTTTTTCTTTAAATTTATAAGGCTTTCTTCTATCACCCAAGGACCTTCTAATCAGAAGTACAAATGAAAAACCAAACCAATTTTCCACTACACTCTGACAACAAAAATCGATATCCTAAGTTTTAACGAAAATGCAATTCATATCAGTAACAGAGATTTCAGAGCAAACCTATATATATAATTAGCAAAAAATATGAAAAATCAGACAAGAGAAAGCGCGAGAAACCTGAGGAACTTCGATGGGCTGATTGAGCTCCCCAGGCTTAATGTCATCCACAGGCGCTTGATCTTTCGTCAGCTTCACATAACGCGAGTGCCCAGTTCCATCCGCCATCTGATCTGATCTCTGGCACCGCTCTCTCTCTGTTTGGTTGCTGAGAAAATGCAAGGAAAGTGTGCTCGAAATCAGGGAAAATTCGCTATATAAACTCTCTCTAGTTTATCATATTACGCGAGTCAACTTTGTCTTTGAGTCTGCCTTGACGCTTAAAGAACTCATTTTTGAGTCTTTCTTACATTAGTCATTTCCGCTTTGGACGGTTAATTTACACGTGGATCACCGCCATGTATACCAACGCCCTTCCGCGTCGTTTAGATAGTACGACTTGTCGTTTTCTACCGACAACCTTGCTTACATGCGACATGTCGTTTGTGCAGCCATCATATTCATATAGCTTGAGAATAATGTGCTCCATCGTTACTAGAGCAATCCCAAACATTTCCTTACTATCTCAACGTAAAATCAAATTTGAGCAATGCAAAGCATCATTTCATAAGTTTCTTCATTAAATTATAATTTAAATGAAGAGTTAGTTTAGTGATGATCTTAGATAGAAGGTAAAGGACATAAAATGTCGATTTGGTTCAAAGTTTAGAAGCTCGGATCTAATTTATAGAGAAGTAAATTCAAACTTAGTTGCAATTGGACGAACTTATTAATCTGACCAACGGTAACCCTGTTCTACACATTTTCTTTCTCCTCTTATAGGCAACTCAACAAAACCAAAATCCGAACCCACGATATGATAGTGCCATATTTTTAGACATATCTTTGGTAAATTTCTCCAGAGGCCAATAATATGGAAAGAGAAACAAACAATGCTAATCATATACCTTCAATAATGTTTCATAACCAGAGCGAACCGTAAGCATAGCAATTGTAAGAGTCAGTTCTACTTCGGTATGTATTTGAATAACTGGGAGGCCAAAATGGACAAACTTGACTTGAATGAAAATTAGCCAGGGCATGAAGAAAGCGTCGTTGATTTGAAACATCTAAAACCATTCATACACATAATTAAACTTGTGAAACTAGTAACGATCCATAAGCAAGTCTTAAGCCAGTGAGATTAATTACTTCATCAACATGGGTTTTCTTGAAACCTCATGAGGGCCAGTTTCTGTACCAACCAGCCCAAGCAGAGACTAGCCCACTGATCCCAAGAGTCACAGTGTGGTTGCAGAAGGGGTTAGGCTCAATATCCGCCACACCAATGAACAAGTCAGCAACATTAGCTGCAACTGCCATTAACCTCATCACTCTATCACTCCTAATCTTTCTCAAACTCTCAATCTTCTTGTCTCTGAACTTGTTGTCCTCCAAAGCACCAAGCTTTCTCTCTGCCTCTAGCCCCTCCTTCAATGCAATGAAATCAGATATGATGAAGAAGACATATCCAAACGACTCACCAAAGGCTGATATAAAGCTCATCTTCCTGGCCAAATTTGGGTTCAGGGTTCCAATTCGGGAGAGCCAAAGAAAGTGGTCAAAAAAGAAATAGACCATTTCCCCTGCATTAGCAAGAACAGCAAGGAACCGAAGGGTAGGCGTGGAGCCAGGGCTTCTTCTCAATGCATTGAATCCTGTGAGAAACCGGCCGGTTCGAAAAGCCTTCCGGCTAAGGCCAGAGGCAACTTCCCACTGCTTTGCTCTTTGAGCAATTTCTGGGTTTTTAGCCTCAACATGCCAGTGGACAAGCTTAGAGACATATTGGAAGGTCTTAACAAGCTTGTCAATGCCATCTCTCTTTGCTAGGAAGATGACCAGTTTGTCTACTGTATCATTATTCATGATAGAAAATTGTGAGCAGATAGGGTTTGGTTGTGGTTGATGAAGAAGTAAGAATTGTTGTTGGTTGATCAGAGAATTTGGGTTAGATTACTAGAACAAACAAAACCAAGGAGCACCACAAAATTAGTTGCAGGATTTTGGATAATAGCACATATATGCTTGTGGCTGGACCTTGCTATGCACCTTGCTACCAGTAGTTTTTGTGCCATCTGTTCTGTTTTGTTTGTATAATTTTCTAACTCTAGGCCTTCTTGTCTTTAGCAAGAGACAACAGTCCAGTCCTTGTCACCTCAACACAAGACTCCAAGATTAGTCTCCACCTTGCCATTTCCATAATTCTCTCCTTCATCTGATGCATCAGAATTGTGCACCTATAATTGTTCCTCAAGTCCCATACACTCTCCATGATTTTATGTCCCTCTTTAGAATTTTAGCAAAGGGGTTCTGATTTCTTAGTTGAATAATGCAATGAAAACATAAAACTATTGTTGGTAAACACCCTAAATATTGTTTTTAAAATTTGGCTCAAGTGATATGGGATGTGTAGTTACTAGCTTCACAACTTTAAGTGTTAATTAATGTCAGGGGGAAATATAAGTTTTGGCCAAAATAAAAATGGTAGGGGCTAATATTGCTACTACTTTTATAATATTGATAACAATAATAAAAAATATATATAATAAATAAAAACTAGAGAATAAACTACAAAAACAACCATGAGGAAATACTAAATACTCCCCTACCTCTCCTAATTTTATTTTTCTTTTTATGTTTTTCAATTATTTATATCTTAATATAGGCTATTATTTCAGTGCAAGTATTAACTGTAGCAGCCTATGTCACGGTCACAGTGAAGAACCAAATTATTACCAGTAGTACCCTCCACATGTGCCACCACCACCTCCAAACTTACCCCTTTCTTCTCTCTCTTTCTCAGATCGTTCTAGTCCTTCCTTGGTGAGCAAAACCCTAGATGGCCTAAAAGCAATTGGACCAATTTCACTGCCCAGTCCTCACCACCCTCACTGATTCCTCTGGTGCGAACCCTTCTGAATTTTTTCTCTCCAACCCAAACCAGTCTAATTATTATCTTTCTTAATTTCAAATCACCACTTCACCATAGTCATGGACGCTCAGAGAGCTCTGCTAGACGAACTTATGGGCGCAGGTATTTCCTATAAACCCTAGTTAATGGTTGCTTTGCTACCTACCTATTTGTTTTTGCTTCCTCGGGCAATTGGATGTTATGATTTGGTAAATTTGGATTTGTTTGAAAAAGATAACAGTTCTAATGGGGTTTGATTATTTTATTTGATTTTTATTTTTGGTTAGTCTTGCTTTAAATTAACTTTTATTGATTTTGAGTACTGGTTTCTGGTGAATTCCAGCTCGTAACTTGACGGAGGAAGAGAGAAAGGGGTACAAGGAAATTACTTGGGATGATAAGGAGGTCTGTGGAGCCTATATGGTTCGATTTTGTCCTCACGATCTGTTCATCAATACCCGAAGTGATCTAGGTGAGTTGCAATTAAAATTCTTGTTGAAATTGACTTGTTTTAAACTATGTTTTTCTTTGCTGAGGAAGCACGGGAAAGAAAATAAGACCCAATGCTTAAATGATGATTAGAAATCTCAATTTCTTTTGAATCATATACTTCATTTGTGTTTGCAGAGTGCATGGTTTCACTGACTGTAATTTTTTTGTTTTTGAATCAGGACCCTGCCCTAAAATTCATGACCCAAAGTTGAAAGAAAGGTGATTAAGTGAACATTTAATACAGTGTATAATTTTTCATTCCGGAAATGTTATTGAGGTTTCACATTGTGCTTTCTACAGTGTGTTTGTGTGCATTCAGTTTTGATGCAATCAAAACGGGGTCATTTGTGTTTGTTCGTTTATTGTTTTGTCATGATTTTATTGAAAGCTACACATCATTTTGTAAAGTTGAGCATGCTTAACTCGCAATACTTACAACTGATGATCATTTTTCCTGCTTCTGTTGTAAGATTGTTGCTTATCTTGTCTTCGTATGAATAAGTTAGCTGCTTTATATGTGTGATGTAGGGTGTAGGATGAAACTTTGATATGCCTTACATGGTATGCTAAGCGGTTGCTGGTTTTTTCTTTTTGAGGTAACTGATTTAAACATTTTGATAAGATCTTTCCGAGAAGGGAAGAGGAATCTATCAATTTCCAAGTCAGAAATTACTAAGTAGTAGGACAGGATATAGAGTGATATGTTTGATTAGTGATGATCTGCTGGATTAGATCATTCATATGCATGGCCCATTAGATCATTCATGTATGCTTATTGCCATAATTATTGATTTTGGGAGACAATGATGACATGCTTGACAGTTCAGCTAAAAGCAGTCAGTGGTGATCTACTTTTCCCCCCCAAGGGTTTCTGTTCCTATTGATTGGACCTTTTGTCAGCTGATTTCTTTCGTTTTTCTTACCTCTACACTGTTGGCAAATAGATATTTTTGCATGAATTATCGGGGGAAATGGTATGTAATTGCTATCTTTATGAGTCTAAGAAGAATGTCTATACTGTTTTGTCAAAACTTGAACTTCTATTTTCGACCTTAGGTGATGGTCAGGGGTCATTTAATGCCTTCTCCCTTTTCTTTAGTTTAAGAACTTACTGCATTTCAGGTATATCATAATTTTAATATCAAAATTCAAGGCACCAGAAGACTACAGATTGTCCAGTTTTTTTTCACTCCTCTGATCATGTCCTCCAGCTCAAAACCTGTTGCTTTTTACTTTTGTTTAAAGCCTTTTCTTTTTTCTTTTTTCCCTTGCTTTCAGGATGTGACTTTACTTTCTATTTTAATTCTTCATGTCATTGATTTTAGTTTTGAGGAGTCCCCAAGGCATGATGCATATGTGCCCAAGTTTGAAGCTGAACTGGCTCAGTTTTGTGAGAAATTGGTACGTTACACATCTCCTGTTGGTCTTCATGATCTCTAGTTTTTTTTTTTCACCTATATTTATTGGTCATATACTACTTGCGTTGCAGGTGATGGATTTAGATAGAAGAGTAAAGCGTGGGCGAGAACGCCTTGCTCAGGAGGTTGAACCTGCACCGGCACCGCCACTGTCAGCAGAAAAGTCTGAACAGTTATCTGTTCTGGAGGAAAAGATAAAGAACTTGCTGGAACAAGTTGAGACCCTTGGTGAAGCTGGAAAGGTGGATGAAGCTGAAGCACTCATGAGAAAGGTGCTGCTATTATATCCTGAGTTTTTCTAGTTTCCTATATTGCAAATGATTTTTCCAGTCAGTTTACACACTGCCCACAATGTTTATTATTGTACATACCTTTATTTGATTCTATATCATACAATTACAGGTACATGAAAGTTGACTTTGATTTATTTAAAATTTCTTTTGACAGGTGGATATGCTTAATTCTGAGAAGACAGCCTTGGCTCAACACCCTCAGAATGATAAAGTGTTGATGCTTGCACAGGAGAAAAAAATGGCACTCTGCGAGATATGTGGTTCATTTCTTGTGGCCAATGATGCTTTAGAGAGGACTCAGTCTCATGTTACAGGGAAGCAGCATATTGGTTATGGCATGGTCCGAGATTTTATCGCTGAGTACAAGGTGAGTCTCTCTTTGAATGGTGAATTACTGAAGCTAAGGGAAAAAGTCATTTCTTTCTCAGAGACTTCAATACATGGACTTTATTTTCAGGAAACTAAGGAGAAGGCAAGAGAAGAAGAAAGGTTAGCAAGGGAGAAAGAAGCAGAAGAACGGAGGAAACAGAGGGAGAAGGAAAATGAGAGTAGAAGGAGAAGTAATTCAAGTGATAGGGACAGGTATCGTGATAGGGATCGTGACAGGGAGCGGGACAGATATCGAGAACGCGATTCAGATCGTGAAAGGTCTAGAGAGTGGAATGGCAGAGGTAGTCGGGATGGAGGGAGAGGGGCGGATTGGAGGTCCAGGAATGGAAGAGATGGGGGCAGGGATAGGTACCGTGATCGAAGCAGGTCACGTTCCCCTGTTAGGCATAGTCACAGGAGGTCACCTAGAAGTCCAGTTCGCCCATATTAATGAATTGTGTAGATAGATGTCTGAGCTTTGAAATTTTTTGAGGTAGATTTTCATATCTCTAAGGTTTTATGAACATGTTGATTTGGAGTCTTAATTAAATTTTCATCATGGGTGAAACTCTTTTGCTATCTCACAGCTTTGTTGAGACTATACCATCTCCCTTTCATCGATATTATAAGCGGAGAAAAGGGTTGAGGTAGGTATTATTCTATTATTGTAACTCATTTTAAAATTCATTTTAGACTTGAATGAGGTAAATTTAATTTTTCAGTATGAAACTTCTCTGAGACAATTGTTTTCAGAGTCTCACATCCCCTTCTGTTGGGAAGTCATTGTTGGCTACTTTCTGTGTTGTCACATATTTAAGACATCAGACCCGAAAATGAATGCATGATTGATCCACCGCAGCTGGAAGATGATGGTTTTTAATCATTTTTGAGGTAACATATTTATCATCTATATATCATCGCCAACCGATACAATATTTCCTTCCTTTCTTTCCTCCGTCTTCTATCTGGTTTTCAGTTTTAACCACTCTATTGAAGTGGTGCTTGTTTGCTATGTGTTTAACTGGGGAGGGAGAAGATACCAATCATGAGATGTGGATAATGTGCTACATGTTGCTCTCAAGGTATTTTTTAGGGGACTCTCCGTACTTACTAGAAAATGGTCTGGTTTTTCACCCTTGTAATGGTTTCTAATTTTCAAAAGGCTCATTAGTTTTCCCTCTTTTCACCCCTCCCCTTTTAGCTTAGCATATCAAAATTTAATCTTAGAACTGGTGCAAGCATTACTTTTTAATAATTGGCAGTGAGAGCAAAAATGCCAATCATTTTTAAGTCGTGGTAAATCTGTAAATTACATTATCATGTGAAATAGGTAGCTTTGGAATCTACTACGGTGGACTGGGATGCAAGGTGTTCCCTTCATTTGCAATATAAGATTTTGCAGTTAATCGGTCGATGGAGGTAACTGCCAATCATAATCCGCAGATTAGTGTATTTGTTTTTATAGTTTGCAGGAGGGAAAGGGGGCAGACTAATTTGGTGAAACATGACGCTTAGATTTGTGGGCGGTCAATATTTTCTCATGGCAAGCAATGGTTTGTGCAGGGCAACCTTATATTCATCTTGCCGAACTACTTTTAAGAGCGGACAAATTGAATTCCCTTCGCTGATGGGCATGTGAATTTGGAATTACCAGCATCTCGTATATTCTTTATCACCTTTGACTCGTTGTAATCTTTACGATATTACTTTAATGACATGTATCAAGGAGTGTTCATGGAGCACATATGACATGCTTTTCTGAAAATAAGATTATTGTTGCGTGGTTTGACCTAAAAAGAAAATGCCCTTTCAGTTATCAAGAAAATACTTGAAGAGATTTTGCAACGACGAAAGAAATTTTTGCTTCTGATATCTAGTCGTGAACGGACAGAATGTCATTGTGTGAAAACAGGCTCTTTCATGGAACGCAAACTATAAAATATATACATATATATAGCAAAATGTTGAAAACCCAGAATGATGGATGCTTTAATTATCACTTCTGATGCAAGCAACATAAATTCAAATGATTTCTACTAGATAAGGTAAAATTTCCATGGCACGTGAAAGTATCCCACTTTTTTTTTTTCACCATGGCGTATAGTTTTTGTGAAGGACAAGGAGTATAATAGGTACAAAATGAAAGGAATAAAAAATTCCAAGACAAAGATGACTATTCTAGATTCAAACGCCGCATCTTACAAACAAGGTTTGCAGTTGGAAGATCAAGCTGATTTCCTGAATCTGACTTGAGAAGGTCTTTGAGCTGGTCTCTTGGGGTTGAAAGGCAGGTGTGAAATGTGGCAAGGACCGGAGGAATTGGCATTGACAAGGCAGAAAGAACATTACTCAGATACTCAATGTCAACAGATAACTGTTGCGATCCTCGATCCGTGATGTACTGAATCCCTCGCAGTTGCTCCATGTAAAGAGCAGTGGCACCTTCTGCGACCTTCATACAGAGAGACAGCATATTATAAACAAGAGCATGGGATTAAAATTTTGATAAAAGGAAGCCACTAGGATTAAAATTTCCAAACATCTATGAACTTCTCGAGCACTTCTTTTAACCATAACAGAGGATCTCCAAAAGATTGAAAACCTTATTGACTACCAGATCATTTCACAAATGGGATGCCCGAAACTCCAACAAATTCTATCGCTTATTTGGACTTACTACAAAATAGTGTAGATGGAGGTTGGTACCTTGAACATCCATTCTGTTGCAAAAAACTGGGCTTCATCATTGTTAGCATCACTGTTGGAGATACCCTCTGCAAGAGGCTCCAACTGCTGTGGTAAAGTAAGAAGATATTCACCAATGCTAGTCACATAGGCCTGCGGGTAAGCACTGAAGGTTGGGAGATGGTAAGCACTCTGTTCTTCAACTGAGGACCATATTGGCAACTGAGAAACATCACTGAGGCGTTGTCGTACTTTAGAGATGAGAACATCATATACAAGTTCATTAACTGTGTCAGCAAATGCGGCAACTCTCTGAGACGCAAGTGGAAGCGCATGAAACCGGGGATCTTTAGACTGCAACAAAAGGAAATGTCAATATTATTACAGACCCAAAGAAACAATGCTCCATCAATGAGCCGCACAGCTGCCACATCCTGATTTAAAAGGTTAAATCTAATCACACCTGATTTAAAAGGTTAAAGAGTTTTCGAGCCTTCTCAGGAACATCAATGAGCCGCACAGCTGCCACATCCAAGGCAGCCCTTCCACCCAAAGATGGTTCCCCATTTCCGTCATCACTAGGAACATGTGACAGGTTTTGGTCCACACTTGAACCAAAAACTGAAACAGAGAGAGTTGTGCTTAATCTAGCAAGAGTAGCTCTCAGCGAAGCTTCAAATACAGAGGATCTGCTAGTTAGACAATCTGCAACTGTGAGGATTTGCAGAGCACCTTGCACAATGGACCACTCCTCCTCATTTGAAATCGAATCAACTCTACGTGCACTTTGGCCATCCTTCTTATCCAATCCCACCTCCTTCTTTGAACCAAGACCATCACTACCATGATCCACTCCACAGACAACTCTTAATGATTTCAGGGTTTCTTGCAGGGTAGAAATATACTGTAACATTATATCATCAATTGCAAGAATTAACTCATCTGCCTCAGAACCTCCAGTCAAGCTGATGCATCTCTCAACGGCTGCTTCAAGAAGTACAATTACTTGGGGAATGGATTCCTCCATTCTGCGAACTGTTTCACTAAGTTCAATTCCCTGAGCTCCCACACCACGAGTAACAGCGCCCCTTAGATCCACCCCAGCAATCTCAGCAGAAAGTATAGCTCGCTCCATCTGTCCATACCTAAAATATATGTTTCATCATTGATCAACTAATAAGAAAATCCCACAATTTAAAATACAACAGCATATCCAGTATTTTGGAAAGACAGAAATCAAATGCTGATCCAAATTAAATCAAATGCAAGTAAGAAAAGAAAACCAGCTTCTCTTGCTCCCAAGGCAACTCTAAACAAAAATGGGATGCCAGGCCTGAATGACCACTTCAAATTTGGATCTTTCTTACCTCTGTTTAAACGATTCATATGGAAGATACACTGCCTTTAGCGTATCCATTAAAACACGGAGATCAGATTCTGAAAACAAGTGCTGAATATTCCTTGCAAAGGTCTGGGTCATGTTGTGTAATTCAATCAAAGCCTCCAGATGCTTTGTCTGGATCTTGATACCCTTTGGCATATCACCAGAGAGAATATCTAATATACCTGCCAATATAAAGTAAGGAATGTGAGATATGATAATAAAGAATTAATCCACAGAGAGAGAGAGAGAGAGAGAGAGAGAGAGAGAGAGAGTCACTGGGATCAGTACAAGTTTTTAAAGTGAAGAAAAGTTGGTAACAGAACGACATGGAAATGAAATTCCAAGTTACCCATTCTCATACACAACAAACAAATGGAATGATCAAGCAGAGTAAGTCTCTGATCATATCATGTAAAACAACACATCTAATACTAACAAAAAATAAAGTCAAATGCAAACCTTTTGCTAATGATTTTGTTTCAGGAATAACATCTCCGGTCGCAAGGTTGATACGAGAAACAAAACTGGCCCCAACACCTGCCATTGTCTCAACTAGCAGCTTTGGAACTAGAAATTTGTAATCCTCAGGAAAGGCAACCATACACCTGTACACAGCAGTTAAAGCTAACTTTTGTATTCCATGACTGGAAAATAAAATTCTATAACATCATCATAAATCCATCCTGAATTTTCCTTTTTGTGCTTTACAAGGATACAAATATCAAACTTTTATTAACATACTGTAAAGATCACAATAGGGAACATGAATATGCAGATGCCTGGAAAATGTGCCATGTCACCAATCATGTGACAGTTTGCATTGAGAATTATTTATGAATTCAATTTCTCATAATAACACATTAATAATTTTTTATTATGTAAGCACTTCCACAATGAACAGGATAACAAAACCATTTTTATTATAATGATCAGATGAAGTATCAAAACTTTAATTGGAACATATATCAGATGAAGTATCATCATCGAATTCATCAACTTGTGAAATATGAAGTTACTGTTTTTAACCCTGAACAAAAGAAAAGACTCTCTGAATCTAAAAGTCCGGGAATCAAAGAGTGAGAAGAGTACCACTTCCATTCTTGTTCAAGATAAAGTAGCACCTCATCATAGAAATTTGGAAGCCAGCTGGAGAATAGAATTGCGGGAGCAGTTGATTGAGATTCACTAGTAGTGGATAGCCTTTCAACTTGAGATTTCTCAGTAGCAAGCTTATTAGGCGGTGGTTGTTTTGCATCAAAATCTTCCCACAGCTGCTTTATGGGCTTTAGGTGAACTTTTGTATAATGTAATTCCATGGACTTGAATCTCCCAATTCGAATGAGAATTCCCCGCAAATCTTGAGCAATGTCAACCTGCAAATACATGTACCAATTATCATGTTCATTACGAGTCTAGATGAAAAAGGATATTTGTTGGGAAATAATAGAAAGCAAGCAATTGATTCAGAAAAAAGTTGTGAATTGTGACCTTGCGATTGGATATTGCATCTGTTAGACGTGGTTGCACCATTGAATCAAGCTTATCCTCTAAGACCTCAAGTTGCTTCCTTATGTTAGCAAATTCAGCAACCTAAAATCATGGGTTTTATCATTGATACCTTTCCATTCCACCAAATCTATCAAATTTGCAAACCAAGGTGGTATTGAATTAACTATAAAAACCAAATCTTTCAAAACATAATAAGCATTACCTCCCCAACAGCAGATAAACAATGCCTCATGCTGGCTAAATGTTCAGCAGCGAGAGGAAGATCACCACTTGCAAACACGTCCTCCACGGTTGCACTCAGTTGAGTTAACCCAGCAGCATCCTGCAATGTCTTATATGCAGCTTCCATCCTCTGCTTCACTATATCAACTTTCGCAAGCGCCGCTATAGACTCAGCTGAGGATCCCTCTGCCTGCACAATGCACATGATTGATCATTCAATTTCCAAACCGCCGTCCAATTTTCCCACGTTTTCTCAGCAACCAAACAGAATTGAACACAAAAGTGGTTGTTGCCTACCTTCTTGAGCTTGTCGAGGATGGAGGAGACGGCCGAGCGGAGTGTGACGGCGTCGTCCCGGAGGCGAACGACGTCACGTGTGGCACGTGGGACGCGGAGGAGGGAGGAGGCGCTCTGCTCCTCGAGCGAAGCTGCGATCTCCTCCGACA